ATACTTACGATCTATATCTCAAAAATGCAGTAGTCCTGGTTTTAGATATTAACAAAATTTAAAAACAAGTTTAGCACCTCACCCTTCACCAATAAACCTCTTATTTCTTCTCTCTCAGGCATTTCACTGCCCAGGCATCAGCAGGCAGATAGCAGAGATGCTCAGGTGAACTCCAAATCCTACTCTAGGCTCTATCCTGATGCCCTTTTTTCCTAACAACAGCTAATTGCCCATACCTCAATAACAGAAAGCATCATTACAGGCTTCTTTTGATATTAAACATTGAAAAGACTCAAAATTATTTCACCTGTCTCCTCCTACAAACATCTGCAAGCCATCTTTGTGAAAGACAATTACAGGCAATGCAAACACGTCCCGGGAAACACATGCCAACGTACGTGGCTTAGGAACCAATGCTCGAGTGGCTCCCTTGATGGAAGACTTGCTGCAAATAATTTCTTTCAATGAGAAGCGATGACATGAAGTTGAACCCTCTCTCGGTATTCCCCCACGCTATTCCTGCTTGCGACTGCCTCTGATGCAAACAAGTCGCATAACCAGGAGGCAGGGAGCTTGCTGAAAGACCGTAGGAGTCACACCTAGTAATGAATTTGCCACACGGCTGCATTTCTGCACGTGAGTGATTTGTAGCTCTCAGTCCACAGAGCTATGACAACTTTTTTAATGGGAAAAACAGGCCCCAGTGCTGTACCCAGCAGTTTTGTTATGCTCCAGGGAAGCTACGTGGAGGGGGGAACAAAAGAGAAAACTGACCACCCAGTGTTAAAAAAGCAGGGAAGAGGCAGGCAGACTCCAAACTACTGCACACAGCAATAGCATCCCTGAAATTTCTGCTTACTTCTTGAAAAGCATGGCCCTTACGAGCTTGGGATGCTTCGAACACTTAAGTGTAAAGCTTCTTTACAAATGAGCAAATAAAGGGTCATCTTCCTCTTGAGTTGGAGCCTTTCCTCACACCAGCTGTGGAGGGGATGTATCCGTACCACCCTAAAACTCCCTTACCACAAGAATCAGCCCTAGACCCAGCCACAGGCCGAGAGTTTACCCCCCAGCAGTCTCACGCTCTGCCATTGACACCGTCTGCCTGGCGGAAGTACGGCGAAGCTATACTGACCAATCTTCTGCCCCCCTGCTGTTTCCCTTCTTCCATACATTAGCCACAGGCACATTGCTGGCCTGGGCAGATTTGTGCTGGGCTGTCTCTGGGGAGCGGCTGACAAACCATCTTACTGGTACACTGGAGACTTACAAGTCTCCTGCAAACCCGACCCAACCTTTTTGCAGCTACACACTAAGGGATTTTGTTGCAAAGATCAAGTGATATCAAGTGTTAAAGTATGAAAGTAACTGATATTTCTATTTAGGATTTGTAAATCTGGATACTTGGGAATTTTAGTATTTATCAACCCATTTACAGGACAAGTACAAAGACCAACACCTTTTGCGACAAATGCTGATATATTCTTTGTCTTGCTGAACAAATTTGACACCTATTTTTCCAGGAAGAAGAGCCTGAACAAAATGACTTTATCACCATGGATACTGAACTGCTGTCCAGTGATCAGTTAGTTTGCAAAACCCTCTTAAAGTACTTCACAGCTGCTCCACTGACTCCGTTGGGTTCTGCACGTAAACAGCACCTCAGAAAGGCCCCATCAAGCCACGGTGTTTCCATCTTGCATCCAAAGCCCAGCAGTGCTCTTTTCCCCAATGCATAAACCTGAAGTGTAAGGTGTATTTTCAGATCTATCAACCAGGTTCGTTACAGGCTCAGTGCCAAGCCTACTGCAACCAGAAAGAGACCTCAGCTGATTTCGGAGGTCTTCAGATCAATTGCGGTAGGAAACAGATTTGTGCAAAGGTACGAGGAGGAAGAAACAGCACTTACAAGAGTTGCAGGATTGACAACAACAGAAATGCTCCAACTGAAGCTGCAAGGCCGATCAGCAGTTTGCATGGCTGTGCTAAGCTTAACAAAGGTAGGTCTAGTTGCTACAACTTGAAGAGATGAACTCCAGAGATGCGAAAAGCTGATCAGCAAATGCTTTTGTTTATATCGGTGTGACTTTCTATGGCTGGCTGAAAGCTGGGTTCTCATCTGAACCCGCTGACCCTATTCCCTCCCTCGTATCTGGATACAGCTGCGCGTTGCTGAGGAGCAATTAATTCCCACCACTTTGGACCTCTGTTTTAAGGTGGGAAGAACTGGAGATACCTATCAGCCTCCACTGGTGACAAACAGAGCTTGGATAATGACCAGAATGGTCATTAGATGGGCAACTTGCAGAGGGCTAATACTAAGCAAGGGAAATCCCACCTTGTGCCTTTTAGCTCACCCAGGGTATACAGACGAGTCAGCAGCCAGATTCAAAGCGATAATCTTCGATGGGTGAAGGTAAAGGTGCTGGCAATCTTTTTGTCACCTCACTGTCTTGCTGGTTGTTTTTGTGCTTAGATTAATCCTTGCTACATAGCGACCTGGCAAACAAAGTCAGCAGTCCATGGCGATCTTGTTCAAAAAGTACATATATTTAATAGTGATAACAAATACAATATTTTCCCCTGGAATATCCACTACTGTATTTCAGTTAGTCCCTTCTATGGTCACTGCAGTTTGACTGTACATAGCTACTGTCTAAGCTGGATACATGGTTATGTTTTAGCAGTGTAGTACTCATATATTCTCTATAAATATAATAAAAGATTTAACATTTCTGGTTTCATTCTGATTCTTACACATATTTACTGGGTTTTCACAAAAAATACATGTCTCTTTCCTGCCTCCCCCAACCTTTTATTGGGTTCCAAATAAACCTGAGTTTGTAATTCAAGTCAGTATCTGCCATCTGTTCAGGTACGCAAGTCCGACGCATGCAAAAGATGGGATTTCAGTGGTCCCCGTTCGCTGGCTTTGCAGCGCAAACATGTTCTTAGCGTGAAGAAAAAGAAAATGCTTTGATGTTTTTAAACAAAAGGAAGAGCTAAGATGGACCCCTGGGATGTACAGGTGCTCTGTACAAACAGATGATGACATTTTTCAATCTGAAAATGAGTAAAATTATTTCAGGGCTGTCTTTCTTACCGTATTGGGATTTTTACGTATACTATTTTACAGGTAGCTTAACCACCCCAGAGGCGGGTGTCCTCCCTACACTGAAGAGTACAAGACGCATACGGGCTCCCCTGTACTGAGCTGACGGGTGGCTTCAGTGCCGAGGCAAAGGTCCCATCTGCAGGAATGAGAAGGGCGCTCTGGGCATTCACGCTCTGCTGGATTTGCCAGCAAGCGTTCAAAATACTCCACAGTCCAGTTATCTGTTCTGTCAGTATCTGGATTAACATCCAATCTTTTTCTTGCAGATTTTGGTGTAAGGCTTGTGCTATGCTGAGAATCGGGAACACGTGCTCAGCCATGGGCTCTGCTGGGGACCTTCTCCCCTGCCTCTGCTGGCCCTCCTCCCCCAGTCCCTGTGTATCATCTCCCTCATGAAACGGGAGGGAAAGCTTCTCAAACAGGGGGATCTCTCAGCATTTGCACAGACACCAAACCAATGGGGCGGCAAAATCGTTTGCAAAAATATTGATAAAAATAGGGCTTGGACTCCTACCGATGGTCTCAATGCAAAGTACCCGTCTTCCTGCAACAACCCCAAGAAGAAGACAACGCCTCTGCTGCCTGGGTTTTGAAATGGCATTAGGTGGGTGGGCGGCAGTGGGGCACACGCGGGCCAGGGCTGCCCACTTGGGAACCAGACTGGAACAAGCTTTGTCGAGATGTTCTGTGCACACAAACACATACGCAAACGCGGTACAGACGAAAGAAAAGAGTAGTCTTTGGCTAAACCTTCTAATTTATAGGAAATGGTTTGAAGACAAAAACAGAACCAAAAAAAATGTTGCCAACCTCTCAGATGTATCATTTACTTAGAAAAACAAGACCGGTATGCAGAACATGGTGCCTTTTAAGAAAGTTAAACTTCACTGCTCATAACAATACCAAATTTTTGGTAACCACTGCATTACCAATCTTGCAGTATAAAATGGCATTGGTACAGGTTCATGTGTCCTTTATTAGTCTTTTTAATTCACTGCAGTCTCTCAGAATAGCCTTCAGGTGTGTCCAGTGCTGCTGTGCTGCGACGGGCTAACGCAGTCCTGCACGTAGGAGCGCCATGGAACTAGTACGGCTGCAAAAATCGGAGGTGACTGGATTGTTTAAACACAGTGTGTCGCAATCTGGATAACTGTTTGAAGCATCCACTTGGAGACCCATCATATGAAAGGAACAGGCCTCTGGTGCAATGAATTTCCACGTGATGAAACTTATGAATCTGTTATTAGCTACTTTATGTAATTAACAGTAAAACCTGATTTGACTTCCAATACTCCCACTTTTCTGAATGTTTAGATCACTTGTGTCTTTATTCAAGCTTCTACCAACTTCATCTTTTTGGCAGTGTTTGTTAGCATGTTGACTCTGGACATAGTATGTTGAGTTTTTCCACTTGTCTAGCCACGTGAACAATGCCCGTAGCAGGACCATGTACTGCGTGGCACAGGCAGATGGAGCACGGGCAGTCTTACCACAGATCCGGGATGGGATCGGCATTCATGGCACCACGCAGATTATCTTGATGAATCAAATTGTTGATGCTTGCTGCTCTTCCAACCAACCTTACTGCAATACTAGATGAGAGCAGTGAAAATACATATTCACATAGCTCTTTCAAGACATGTTTTATGGTACAGTCAGATGTCAAATGCTAATATTTCTTAACAGCACAAGCAGAGCCCTTTTCTCTGAACTTTAATATGTAGGACAACACCTTCCTTACAAGCAGACCTCTGATTTTCTATGTTGGACCACTGTAGTGTATTACGTAGTGACAGTAACGTGCCTGTGCCTTTCCCTTCTTGTTAAAAGTAAAAAAAAAAGGTTAGGTCTCAGAGAACAGCAGTGCAAATCCTGGGATGTCAGACTAACACTGGCCACTGACAGCATCTGCTGCATTGAAGGAAATCTGCGTGGGGCTCATCTGCTGCAGCTGAGGCATCCTTGCTTCCAGCGGCTTGTCGCTCGCCGACTGCATCGTCTGGTTCCTCTTCCGCAGCATCTGTCCGATCCCCATCATGGGGAATCTACCTCTGCTTTTAACACAGTTAGGGCTGCCCAAGGGGTTGTTGGAAACCAGCTGAGTAGGGGACACTGCTTCTTCCTTTGCTGGATACGCTTTTTCTTCATATGTGAAAGAGACTTGGGTGGGATGGATGGGGGACGTACTCCCTGGCTGAAAAAGTGGGGACAGTGTCCTTTCACTTGAGCTTTTGTAAGGAAAATTCATTGGCGAGCCTAAAATCCTGTACTGATGCGAGGGGGAAACCTGGTCTATTTGGTCCTCTCTGTCAACCGACTCGAAGGAGTGCACAATATTCAGGATGAGAGGGGAGTCCTTTGCCCGGCCACCGATCCGGGCTGGCTCCTGCTGTGGAGACTCCTGCCTCTTGAGGAGCCGAGGTGTTCTGGGGGGCGGCTGCTGGACTTCAAGGTACTCCAGGGAGCTAGAAGTGACGCAGCCCGTCTTGGTTGCCAGGGGTTCATGGAAAGGGCTTACCCCACCGCTGGAGTCTGCAAAGCAATCAGAAAAGGAACCAGAAGAGCAGATTGCATTTAATAGCACTGCCTGCTCTGCCTTATGGCAGACAGCGTCCAACATCACCTTTAACAAATTTTAGAAGAGCGTGACAAATGCACTAGCTGAAACAAATGGTCTTAGGGATATACTCAGAACCTAATTCCCTGACTCTTTTCTTAATACTTACGTTGCTGTTTCATGGGTAATTTATCTGCCCCTTTCCTCAAAGGCAGGAAAAGTGCTTAGACCGAGTAAGACAAGGACATGAAATGGAAAACCACAGATGTCTTCAGCTGTTTGCATTAATTATACCCTCTAAGGCCATGTCTGAGAAATCTCACATTTCTCCTTTCTTAGCACAACTTTGCAAGGTTTTAACTGGGTCTGCGTACTGTATTCACTGACATACCTAGAGACACAGGGGACAGCAGTGAGTTAATCACTAATGTCTTTCCTTGCATGTTGGAACAAGATCTGTTCTTGGTTTCACACATGTAAATATGGTGTAGCTGCACCGGCCAGATTCAGGCTGTTACAGTTGGAACAGATTTGCTGCATCGATATCAGTGAGAATCTTCCCCCAGCAAGGACCGAATATAAATGGAACAATCTTTGCAGGATTTGGCCCAGTAAAACAAAACAGCTCGAGGAGGAGATCTGCTTGGTTTCTACAGGATGCTGGCACTCGCTTATGCCAAGCTAGTTGCAAGAAAACACGTTTTGCTGGCTTTAGGGAAAGCTGTCCAAGGAGCCTACTTTGCTAGGTTCCCCCTAATTAAAAGAATAGTGGACCAAGTTCCCTTGGTGTCAAACCATCTAAAAGGGATATAAAATAATATAGGTCTGCCAGTGCTCAGGTCACAGCCATAAATCTCACATATATTTCTTTTGAAAGGGATGGTCTTGGCAGGGCTTGAGACCTGAATGGATGTACGGGATGAAATAACTCGCATTGAGAGTTGTCTGGGAAAAGCAGACCAGGTTTAATCTCACTAGCTTCTTTGCAAAACTGGTCAAAATTATTTGACCACTTTATTTAAGAAGTGTCAAAACATGGTTTCCATAACTAGAGAAATGCTTTAGCTGAGATCTGAATGATTTTGAGGTTTCAGTTTAAAAAAGGAAAGAGGAAAAAAAGTTAACTAAGTTTGCTTCCCCTGTGCCTCCCTCACAAAAAGAATGACAAATTCTGAACAAAATGAGCATTTTAAAATATTTTTTACACTTCTCGCAAAAAGTACATCCCATTTCTGACCAGCTCCACAGACTACTGCTACCTTGCAGCACAGGTGCCTGTGCTGCCAGACAAACACCGTTTTGACTTTTTTTTTCAAGTAGAAAGCATCAAACGATAACTTATCATGTCATGAGAAAGAGCATAAAACCACCATAAGCCACCACTCTAAATAACCGCCTGATACCACAGTAAACATTTTATATCGCCATATTCCCCCCTCTGCTCTGTAATGACCTCCTTTCGTTTAGCTCCCTCATTTAACAGCCGGCTACATCACCTTCCTGCTCCTCAATGTCTCCCGTCCACGTGTGCGCTACTGACACCCCGTTTTCCCTGCTGACTCCCCTTGTCCTCCACTCCTTTCTTCTGCCTCCTTCTGCGAGCAGCTCTCACCCATCCCTCCCAGGCTGCCTCCTACCCCGTGTGATTAATGCTTTGCTCTCTTCTGGCTTTCTTGTCTTTTCCTTTCCCTGTTAATGCTTTTCCTCCTCCTTTTGCTGCCTGAAACTTGCTGGGGTTGGCAGTCCCACCTGCGTTTCCTCTTGGCTGCCTATTTCCCCTTCCTCCAACCATCAGCTGCTGCCCACTGCTTCTCCCAGGGATGCCACCGTCACCGGCGCTCTCCTCAGGGTCAGGGATTTCTTCCCGTGCTGTCCCTTATCCCCCTCTTAGCAAAACACGTTCCCCAGTAGGAAGAGGCATCTTTACTGGCTTTGGTTTGTCAGTGATCTGGGGTGGGTGTTGATGCTTTCAAAGTGCCAGTGTGAAGTCCAGCTGATTTTGTAGATATAAGTAGATATAAACAGGGAAAGAAAGCTTTTTAAAAAAAAAAAACTGTGGGGATTCTATCAAATAAAAAGAGAAGTAAAAGTGAGGATTCATGACTGCTGAACATCATCATGGTTTCCTCAGGACGTTTCGTTCAATGTTTGACTACATTATTCAGTCCTCTTTCACATTCCACCTCCAGAGCAGACAGCGAATGCAAGCCCACGACTATTTACTAACGAACACACAACACACGAGACACTCTCATTAATATCGCGCGTACCCACACATGCACATGCACACAGAGACACACCACTGGCATTTCTCCCACTGACCTTTCTCCGGACCTCCAGCCTTGGTGACTTTCCGGTCCTTCAGCAGAGCCTTGGTGTTCTGTATCTGCGAGATAAGACAGGAAGAAGGCTGTCTATATGAAACTGGACTTTTCTCAGTTTTCTTTGGGAGCTGACGGTGAAGAATCTCCCCTTTCTTTTCTTGTTCTTTGAGTTTTTTGTCCTTTAGGTTGTAAAACAAACAAGAACAATTTGGTTTACTTAAGGGACGTTTAAATGACCCCCAGACTTACAAGCACACCACTTACCGAAGCCAAATGAAAAACTATACATGTACAAGGAACTTATCCTGGCTACTCGAAATAACTAAATCTTCCATGTCTCATCTTCCTGTGATCTGCTTGACATGATTTCATGGTTCCCATCTGCTCTGACACTCATGCAGTGTGAAAATTGGTTTTGGAAAATTAAAGGAAAAGGAAAGCTTTCTCTTCAGAGGCCATTTGTCCTAGGAGACCTCGTTGGAGCAAGTAGAGGCAGGTTCGTGCTCCTTCATACCTGAAATTTACCTCCTCATTTAAAGACCGAACAAAGGTCTTTGATTTCTCTTTATTGCACCTCCTCTGACATTTGAAAAGGTGAGCTGCAAAGCTTTAAAGAAGTTTAAACTCTTTGAGTCATTTATCTTCTGCCCGAACAACATCCAGAGGAATACAGCCCTTGCTCTGCAACCGCGGGCTCCGATGCTACGTGCGCGTTAGGCTGCAATGCTGGGGCTGCACCCGTGAAGGAGCGCGAGCCCAGTATTAAACCAACCACCCGGGTCTAGTAGTCTTTTATAGCATCTCTGCAACTGCGCAAGACACAGAGGGTGAGAAACTTACTGACCCAGCCCCTCACAGAGCCCTAACGCCTTTTCGTGCTGGGGAAGGCAGCTGAAGGTGGGACTGCAAATGCATACATCCTAAAAGAGAGGTTTGATCTCCAGTGATGACAGAGGAAAAACAGAATTTGGGAATGTGACTCTGAAGAGGAATCCAATTTTCAAAGCACTGTTTTACAGTGAAAATTCACTGTATCTTTTTTCAACTTGAATCACTAGATTCTGCAAGCTGTGTAACACTTTTTACCTGCCACTGATGTCAGGGAGAGCCAAAAATCTTATTTCGCTTCTAAAATTCAGGCATCGAATTTGTGGCCCATGTTTTGCTATCCCTCAAAGACTTCAAGAATCCCTCACTTTTCCGCAAGGAAGCTGTATGGTCTGGTTTTAGATGTCAATCTCAAAGAAGTGGGGCTTTTGTTTGGGTTGCTTTGGCACTGATTCTTTAGAGCAGCACCTACGTGACATTCTTTGTGTGGTTGTAATTCTCATTTAAGCAACATATTTCATTGTGTCTTATTGAAAAGACACCGTAACTACAAGTCTTTATTTTTAAAATGCAGGAAAGTTTTTTCTTTTGAAAGTTCATTGGCATGAAGTCTATTGAAACCCTCAAATGCAAAGTAACGTGCATACATGTGAGAGAGGGAAAGACGCAGAAGACAACTCGGGTTCTCTCAGGCCACTAAACAGCTCTGGAAACATATTAAGACACCTAAGAGGAAAAGAACCTGACAGCACCCGTTTTGATGATTCCCAGCTCGGACAGAGTCCAGCCACCCGCACAGACGGTGTCTGGGCACCACTGGGCTCATTAACCTTTGAATTTTCAGAAGTTACAGAGTCGCAATGAAGAGCTTCAGTGAATCATCAACTATGGCTTTTAGTTTTATGACACAAGTGGTTAGGGGAATTGGGAGAGCGAGAACCAGAGACCCTCTCTGACCTCCTCACTGTCTTCTCCTCAGTCTCCCTTCACAAACATGTTTTTTGTTCTTGGCCTCTCTCCATCCGTCCCTTATTGCCTCCAATTTCCTTCCCTTTAGCTAGCTAAAGCTGGCTAGCCCTTCCACAGAAACAAACCAATGCATTAGGAAGCCGTCACCACTTTGCTTGCCTGATACCTCTTTGTCCACCTGATGTCTTTCCCCTTGCCTTCAGATGCTGTAAACACCTCGGGCAACAAACATTTATTCCTCCCTGCCAGTGCCGTGCTTGGAACAATGCAACATCTGATGGGTCCCAAGCACTATCTTGGCGAGCACAGTCACCACGGACGACGATGAAGTAATAACAACAGTAATAACAACAATAGCAATAATAATAACAACAATGCTGTGTGAATAACAGAGTCAGTGGGAGCTGTACAGTTAATTTTGAGCCCACCACACTATTTTTCCTCTTCAGGCTCTGAAACTCTGCTGCCAAGTTCAGCAGAGACTGGGCTCTACTGAGTATCTTTTTTTAAAAGGTACTTGTGAGGATGAGACCAAGTGGTAACTATATTAAGCCTAAAGGAGCTGATCAAGATTGTCAGCGACTTTCTGCTATTTTGGATAGGTGAGGAAAGAATTTGCATGTCGGTTGCTGCAGCATCTGTCAGGATGCAGGACGTTTCAATGCTGCAATATTTTTAGCCTAATGGTGCAAGAGCCAAGCCACAGCTCCTCACCTGCCAAGTGTTCCTGACTTTTTGCCTTCACACTGCTGTAATGTTTTCTGAGCAGCATTAACACAGTCATACTGTACAAGTAAAGCTCCCCCAAAAAAGGAAAATTCAGATATCCGGTGTTAGCAATGAATTACTTTACCCTGGATGAATGTTGCAACTAGTCTTTTAAGTATTTTTAAAATTTATTGATTGTTTCTCTTAGATGATGGTTGTTGAAGGGGAAACAACCAAAATCCTTAAACTCCCAAGGTGCCACATACCATTATATTTCAAAAGGAAAGGACGATTTCCTTCAGGGGAGTTGTAAAAGTTCACTCTTCACTGTACTGTGCGCAGCAGCCATGTAATGGCATGCTGTTGCACAATGCAGGAGTTGTACCGGTATGTTATACTTGAATAGGTTTGGCATTACATCATCCTCTGCTATTTCCTGTCCTGACCTCGACCCGAAAACCTACTCTTAGTCCCAGCAACGGATTTGAAAGGAAGATAAAGGGTATTTGCCTTGGCCGTGTCTAAAACAGCGATAGGAGAACGACACAAGTTCTTAAAAATTGCAAATTCCCCGAGTCTGAGCCTACTGGCTACCCTGCGGGAGGCAGGTACTCCCAGCGCTGGTCCCCTGCATCTGCTGCAGGAATGACCTCCTCATCACCTGAGGCCTCTCCAACAGAAAAAGGAGAGATGGAGAGAGAAAGACAGACTACTGCCTCCCTCCCTCCTCCCTGTGCTGCCCATCCACCCCGAGCACTGAAATGAAATCAGCCTGCCCAACAGCCTGGTTACATAGCACCGACAGCAGCTCTCACCACCCTCAGTCCTGGCTCGCTGATCCCACCATTCCAGGTTAGGAAACCTAATGGGGAAGAGGGGCTGGGCATCACCCCTGCCCATTGCCCTGCTGCCTGCCCCAGCAGCAGGCGGTTGCCGCTGGCAGGTAGCTCCCCCAGCCCGAGGCAAAGTCCTTATTTCACATTGCTGGAGTGAGGTGGAAGAAATTCAGTCGGCTGCTGAAGCTGAAGCTGACCGGCTCTCTCCCTGCTATTCCCATGGCAACGCACAGCTACGCTCTCCGTGCAGCATCTGCCTAGGGACCAGTGCCTCCCAGTTCCCTGCTGGAAATGGGGAGGTGATAAGGCGACTCTCTCTGCAGCCCATGAACCTGCCTGAGCTTACAAAATCCCTACCCCTGAGTCCCAGTGGCGCCCACTGATCCCAATGGCATGAGCTAGACACCAGCAAGGCTGTGTTCCCATTCACATGAAGGCATTTTAGGAGAGAAGTCTACCATAGTTACAAATGGCAGTAGCATCTCAGGGTCTGTATTCACCCACGTGTGCTGCTTCAGCTGTCCTGGTACAGTAAGGGTACACAATCCCCTTGTATTAATCCAGCTAAAGTGATATAAAGCATGCTTTATACAGCTATGCCCATGCAGAAAGAGAATATACTGTATTATTATCGAAGTGTCTGCACTGTGATTGCATCAAGGTAGCTATTTCAAGACAGAAATGACACCCCCTCATCCTCTAAATAGCTACACTGGGACTAACTCCGAGTGCAGGAGAGGCTTTGGAGGGAGCCTTTATCCCTAAGCATGCCTACAATCCAAACTGGGGTCATACAGCGGCGCTATCGTTAGTTTTCAATTACCCTTAGGGAAGTCAAACGTTCCCCTCTAGGGGCGTGGAGATTTCAGGACCACCACCAAACCAGACCATGTATTCCTCTCTCGGCTACACACAGGTGCACAGGCAGGCCTTGCTGCAGACTCCCCTGCATGGGGTAGGTATGCAGAAGCTGTAAGCTAATGCCTGGATGGCAGGCAGAGCACGCCCGTGGCACTCCGTCACTGCACACAGAAGGGACACCGGCAGCTGGTGTCACCACTGGCCCAGGGAACATCAGGGTGCACCATGCAACATCTGCAGCATTCACCTCCAGGTACCTGCCTGCGTTTCCAGGGGAAGGTTGCCCTGCAACAGCTTGAAGTAAGCTGTCAAAGAGCGTTTTGAAATATTATATTCATTGAGTCTACCCACTGCTGATACATTTTAAGTAAGGTGGTTTTTGATTTGTGTAAGAAAAGAATGATAAGTACTTTGCCCTGATATTTCCATCTGGCTTGCAGTTCAACTTGTCTTGCAAGCAGTCTTTACCATAAACAAAACCAGCCATGATTGATACAAATCTGCCCCTGCAATTAGATCATCAATCCAGCGCTGAAGAGTAGCTTTTGAAATAGGTAGAGTCCTCAAGAATACTGCTCTTTGTGTTTGTAAGTAAGACTTGCACAGCTCATATTACTCTTGTAATTTTAGTGCTTGGCAAAGAATCAGCCAGGGAAGAAAAATCCAGCCATAAGAAGACTCCTATAACCTGATATGTATTCTTTTAATACAAACTACCTTCTCTGCAGGCAAAAAGACTGGAGACCAACAAAGAAAAAGGTAACCCAATCAAAACTCTTCTCTGGCCAAGGAAAGTCCCTCACAATGCAGTGAGCTAGTTCTGCATCACTTCTGCTAAGGGGCAAAAAATACTAACCTGGGCAGAGTTTTATGCTAATCCAGTTTCATCATTCCTGGTAGTCAAGCCAGGGTTGGCCCAGGACACCAGGAATGTCAAGTGACCAGGGAAGGTCATCTCGGCTGTGACTCAGCTCTCTGCCCTACACCACCAAGGTCTCGAGACTCAAGGCAACGCAATTATGGTCTTCTTACAACACCAGCAACTTGCGCCCCAGAATGAAACTACAGAGCCCCCGAAGAAGGTTGCATTATTTTGCTAAACAGACCATTTAAAACTTTTAGTTTCTTCATAAAAGCTGAAAGTTGCTTTTACACTTCCACCCTAGGTGGTTGCTATTTGTTCCTTCCAAAAGAAAACTGAGGGAATTATTTGTCCTGCACAGGCAAGACCACAGGTCTTTTTTTTTCTCCACTGGTCAAGAAACGCGTCGCCTTAATCACAATCACCAAGGATCCTCAAATTCAGTCTGCTTTCGAAGTACCTTAACGAGCTTTAGTAAGCTTTACCTCATAGGAGTCTTTATTCACCTTGTATTTTTCTATCTGGTATAGTTGGCTCTTGTGGCAAATATTGTCCTGGCCTTCAGACTTCTGTGGAGAGAGAAGCACAGAAAAGTAAAGTATGTAAGATAAAGAAAACTAACATTCAAGTACTGCCTAATGGACCGTATCCACTCTTGGCGTTCAGTTGAGGTGCATCAGCTTACAGAGTTGGTGAATTTGGTCCATTACATTTTAAATATCATTGATGGCATCATCATTAAAACAAGCTTGCTAAAAGAACTGAGAAAAGAAAAAAACCTAAGAAGCTGTTGGGGATAATTTCTCTAAGAAGCAAACACGGTAAGAAGAAAACCCCACACAACCCACCCTCCTGCCCCTGCAGTCACGTAGGAGCCTACAGACCCTCAGCTAGTTAAGACTCCTCACCAGACCACAGGCAGCTGCATGGAGAGGCCAAGGGAAGAGAGCGTGCAGCTTGTCTTTGTGCGCCGTGCCCGTCCTAGCACTTCAGCAAGCACCACGCAGAGTGTGGCCAGAGAGCTCAGCTCCCCAGGGTGTCCAAGGAAGGATGACGTGTGGCAGCAGACTCATGCCCTAGAGCAAGCTGCTGTGCAAAGCTGTCAGCAGTGTTTCTGACCCCCAAGCCGTACTCAGTGGCCAGGAAGGTGGGCAGGAGATTAGGAGACTTTACATTCATGTTATTTCTCATCTAAAACTTTCAGCTAAGTTTTCACTTAAAAGCTAAATAAAATCTTAATAGGTCTTAAGCTTCCTCTTGATTTCCTGAATCAAATTACATTGTGTTATTGATATTTCAAGCGGCAGAATTATCTCAACATACAGACACAGTACACCACAAGTCACAAGTAAGACTCTGCATAGCAACAGTTTGCTTTCTATAGGGTAACTGCCTAGCCAGAGGGGATCTTCTATGGAAACAGGGACTTGTGAGCTACAAAGCCTATCAGCAATTATCGCTGCAACCTGGGGAACTGTTAGCTTAAATAATGTTATTACTTTGCAAGGAATACTTCCCCTTCATGGTTGCTGCTACAAAATTAGAAAACAAACAAACAAAACCCCTCAGGTAAAGCCTTGAGATCAAATGCCAGCAAGCAGGGAAACTTTTAGCATTTTTTTTACCCTCCTCACCCACTCATCCAAAGAATCAGCATCAAGCAGTACTTACTCTAAGGCTTGCCAAGTAGCGCTCCAGCTTCTTATTAAGTAGAAAGTAGATGGCAAGCGTGTGACTTGCCCTGTTTGAGAGCACAGTGTTGATGACGTCGCTGTTCTTGTAGCCAAGCTTCTCGGTCATATGAAGCAGCACGCTTTGGCTGAGGTCCTCAAGGTGAATCCTGCACAGGAGAGAGAGGCAGAACACACTTTTTGTACCGTCCTTCCAGCAACAGAGCCTTGCCAGCCATGGGGGATGTGGCAGAGCGTAAAGAAGAGGTCTGAAAGGCTCACTAACATGGGAGTGATTAGCTCTCTCCTCCCGTGACTAGGCATGAAAAGGGCAGACTATTCGGGAACCACAGGCACTGCGGGAAGCCACGACAGCTGAATGAACAGCTCTCTCCCCACCATGTCCTACCCTGATGTGAAATGGCACCGTGATGCTCAGGGCACCACTGTTACCTCACATCTGACCGGCAAAGACCATCAGGATCATCCGGCTGGTTTTGAAGGAAAAGAGGTAAAATCCCACTCAGGTAGCTACATTTGGCTTTCTGAAACGGCCCTTTCCTTGTAATCAAACACCACTGCATTCAGGTTCACCTATTACTTGGTGCGCAGTATTCATGCACTAAGTAGCTAGAGAATTTCCTACTGGAGAAAGGGGATGTACAGCAGCTCTCAAAATGGTTAAACGGCTGCTGTAGTGATGTCAGCTGAAAGCACAAGTACAAGACATGTTTATGTATGTGCTCATCTATAAAGTCCGTAACAGACTTAGCCAAGGCGAGAAATGGAGTACAGCAGCCTTGTGGAAATGGCAAAGCATCTTCTCAGTCTTAAGTTAAAACGAGATTTTTCCGACAAACTCTGCTCCTATTTAGACCTCTAAATGCACTGGCCGGCTTCCCAGATGTACCCGTCAACTCCCATCCACCTCCAAAGAAATGCTGGGTTTCATTTGGTTTCTAAAGCATATTCCTTGCTCCTAACATCAAGCCTAGTATCTGGCTCAGGCAACTTAAGGGAGCTTAGGTTGTGGGTTTTTTTACAACCTTCCCCCTTCAAAAGGACCATTCTCCAGCTTTCCCACTTCTGCCCTTCTGTTCCCCTGTCCTGTGCATCTGCGATGCGAGGAATGCCTGGACAGCAGTCTGGGTCTGACGTAGAGAACTTAGAGAAGATGTAAAACACAGTCTGGAAAATCTCAAATAACTTTTTTCCTTTATTCGCCATGCTTATTAACGTTCGTTCTGCAGCTAAGGAGTGCATGGGGTTGGGTTTTTTTTAAGTTCAAAAGCAAAACTTATCTTGGCCATTGCCCGTTAAAGCATCTAGACAGCAAAAGAAATTCAAGCAATTTCTACTTTAAGTGCTCAGGAAAATGGGAAACTTTTGCTTGCCTTCAGGGAATTTCTTTAATGAAAGCAAGCTTATAAAAAGCCTGGGAGAATATTCTCCTGAAAATGCAGTTTCTCCCGTTCTTCTGCCTTATCTCCATGCTCTCCCTTTTCCTACCAAGTCCTTGTCTTGGTAGCAATGGGTGTTATGCCCAAAATGGTGGAAGAGCACTGCAAGAACATAAGACAGCTTCTTGCTTGTGTTATAAAAAGCATGACTGACAGAGGAAGTAATTGCAAATTCAGTAGTGGATTTTTCAGAACTATTGCAACACATCTTACCCACATCTGCATACTAACAAAACCTTATGAACTTTCTACAGAGTATTTTCCCTATAAGGCTCCAGTATGACAAATTCTAGGTAGGTCAAGCTTGGGGCATCAACTAATTAAACTCAAGAAATATTATGCAAAAAAATGAAGTGAAAGAAAGAATCTGTATGGCTTTTATCCTTTACAGCTTCAAGTAAAATGTGGGTTCAGATAGAAGGAGTATCTACTTTTCTCATTTTCAGCCCAAATGATGAGAAAAGCAGCGCAATGAGAAAGAATAAAGTAACTGGTTTTATTCAATAGCAAAGCATAGCATTCCACACTGATGTTCCCTTTAAAAGCGCTTATAATAGGAAAGGATTGTTATCATCACCATAAACACATGTATGCATGAGTAAACATATGCCCTCTCTGTAGTTCGGCACTGCATTTTCTTCTGTTCTTCCATTTGATTCACTTGCCTTTAGGAGGGAATGATTAATGGGCACTCCAAAAATAAAGAGCATTGCACAGCTCATCTGTCTACTAGAGGCCAGCCTCTTCTGTAAGTCACCTACCTAACTGCACCAATGAGCGGACTCTAGAAGGGATGCTTCCACCACAACCTGGCTAAAGCCTGACAACTGCGAGCTAAGAAGTCAAAAACAGAGGCATGAAAATGTACCTACGAATGCAAAAGAATTGTGAAAGCACATTCAAACCCTATTTCTGTCTTTTTTCCTGTTTTCTACAAATCAAACGCACACAGCAAGAGAATTAAATTACCCATACAGCTCTCAGTTACACTTACATTCACTTAACAGATGCCATGTTTAGTAGATTGATTAGACTCATTATGACAGTGGTTTCATTAGCTTAATGACTCATTCAGTTTACACTTGTTTTCCCTTTCTTTACCATACAATGTTCATATGTACCATACTTCAGCACAGTCCAACGCACCACGGAAACTCAGATTTCCTTTTGTTGGACAGCACACTAAGCAAATGAACTCAACTGCCCTTAAATTTGGGGCACTAATGTCGAGATAACGTGTCTGCCTGTTCTCATTCTTATTCCTTGTGAAACAATTGTTCGTAGGGGCCATCTTTATATTCTGTCCGCGCAAATCTGGGGATTGCAGACAGCTAGCCTCGCATTTGCCCTCCCTGTTTCAGTGGATGGCTCTAGTGATGCCTCCAGGCATCCAAGCTGCTCAACATCTATCCAAGCATATTTTGAGAGCAGATCTGTTATTTTCCTCCTCAGGTCAAAGAAAGGCATAGTCACAGTGATTCTCCACAATGCAGTAGTTGAAAATTGAGACTCTACCTCTGGAAGGGAAATGCTTGCTGCTGAATTAGGGCACCTCTGTTCACTTTCGTTGCAGAGGAAAAAGGGAGGTGACTCAGGTAGGAGCCTGTACCGTGCAGGCTGCGACCCATAAGCCAGTCAACAGCAATGTGAAAGGGAAAGGTTTCCAAAAACTCCTAAAGGCTGTCCCAAGATTCATTTTCTCAAACTCATTTCCTTTGCCCACGTCTCAGCATGATCAAGTGGTGGCAGCACTTGTCACCTGCTTCAGCAGTAAGATGGGTGCTGCAGGTGCCTCTCGGCCCCACCAGGGTTGGACCCATGGCTCTGAAACATACCCTGTTCATCTGGCTAGCAGTGGAACAGAGGAGAAAATGGGTGGGAGGCACTCTAACCAGCAAAGCTGTGACCTGGGCTGAATGCTGAATGCTGGCTGCATACACGGATTGAGCATATGGGACTGAGTCCTTCAGGGCACGGACACAAAGAGGTGGCCTGGTTGGTGAACACCAAATCACTTTTGGGTGGAGGACAGCGGTTCATATGTTCAGACAAAAGTCATCATGCCTCTAGGCATACGCTACATCTGGTATCTCGCAACTGAGTAAACTGTATGGGGGGAAGTTAGGATCTTCACTTAGGGACTATGCCAGTTTTGGCTGGGACAGAGTTAATTATCTTCATAGTAGCTAATATGGGGCTGTGTTTTGGATTTGTGCTGGAAACAGTGTTGATAACACAGGGATGTTTTCGTTCCTGCCGAGCAGTGCTCACACAGAGCCAAGGCCTCTGCTGAGCAGTGCTTACACAGAGCCAAGGCCTTTGCTGCTCCTCACACCACCCCACCAGCGAGGAGGCTGGGGGTCCACAAGGAATTGGGAGGGGACACAGCCGGGACAGCTGACCCCAACTGACCAAAGGGATATTCTGTACCATATGACATCCTGCTCCATACATAACTGGGGAAGCTAGCCAGGAGGCAGGATCATGGCTCAGGAATTAGCTGAGCATTGGCTTTGGGTGGTGAGAAATTGTGCTGTGCATCACCTGTTTTGTATATTCTTTATTATTATTATTACTACTACTACTGTTGTTGTTATTATTGTTCCTTTTCTGTCCTATTAAACTGTCTTTATCTCAACCCATGAGTTTTACTTTTTCTTTTCCTTTTCAATTCTCTCGCCCATCCCACTGTTGGGGGTTGGGAGTGGGCGAACGGCTGTGTGGTTGTTTTAGCTGCCAGCTGGGTTAAAGCATGATAGGAACTTTCCTCTTAGCAAGTTAGGACAAAAATTTTGGGGCACCATCAAATTTGAAGCACCAAAATCAGGCTTTAAGTTGCTGTCTTTGCCTCAGTGTTGCTTAGGATTTTGGACTGCAAGCTAGTAACTCATACAGTGAATGCTCTGCAGATACTAGATTGTGTATGAGACACAGCTGGAGGTTTTATATGATCAAATATAGACTCTGGCGAATTGCCAGAGTCTCCATTTACAGGCACTGGAGAGGAACTCAGGTCTCCTGGGCACAAAGTCATCCTACTGCCGAATCAAAAAGAAGTTAGATCAATCAATGTGTAAAAAGTGCCCTTATTTCTCTCCATTGACTCTAATGAGAGCCCAGGCTGGCTGGCTCATGTGTTGAAAGTCAAGCAAGATTATTTCTAACCAAAGGAGACCACAAGTATCTGTCTGTCTTTTTCCCTAGATGGATGTTTGACTGGCCATCTCTGTTTGCATTTAGTCATGCATTCAGCATTGCAAGATATTCAAGATCAACAACCAACAAAGCAATATCATTTAACTCTGACCTTTCTCACCACAGTTTGCATATTTACCTCATCCACAGAACCTCACGTATGTATCACAAACAGGCATAGCCTCTACTGAAAAAGCAGCTTGGCTTTTACCAACAGACAAGGAGAAGATCACCACTACCTGTCACTCATATCCATTCCAAGGTCTGGAGCCAATAAATCACATGATCTGCATCCTGGACCACCCTGCAAATAATGCATCATATACCAGCTTCTAATTTAAGGTATTGGTTTTGACCGTTTTAAGCAACACATACTCAATGTGTCAATGTAGTCAACACAATGGCCAATGCTAACAACTTTTAGGATGGAATCACAAAAGCAATCCCAGAAAATGCCGTGGGATGCTGTCACACAAGGAATGAAACTGGAACGCCAAGAGTCATTTACATTTTAATGTATATACACCCTGACAGGCTTTCTCCACTCTTTTACACAGTACCTGTTTGGATATGTGACATTAGGTGGAGCTCTCCCAGGGTAATTCTCATTAAGCCATCGATTTGCAAGCGCTTGCTGGATATTTGGTCTCTTTGCAGGATCTGGCTCTAGTAGAGATCGTAGAAAGTTTATGGCCGCTGTGAAGAAATCAAGAAAAACAACAGCTATGTCATATGCTTTACGACTTAACACAGTAGTTCAGTTACTACAGGTGTGTAGCCTGACAAAGAGTATACTAAAAAGAAACGTTTTCCTTATGGTATGCTCTAATGTCCTTGAGGAAAAGGAAAACTTGATAAGGGATTAGTAAGTAAAATAAACAATGATTTATAGTCACAGTGATTTATAGAGTCATAAAGGAGAGGAGAAAAGGCGCCTTTTGTTTCAGAACTTGTTTGAAGTTTCCAAGCAGGTTAGCCAAAACTTGATTTTTGAATGAGGACAAGAGACTGGAGTCAGGTCAGAGGTAAATCACTCAATCTGTGTGTAAAGTAGAAGAAGATGGACTGGGGGTGAGTGGAGGCACGGGATGCAGAGCTTGGAAGGAAGACATGGAGAACTGGGCTCCCTTTCACATTATAAGGACAAATTCTCTCCTGACTTCCACCCAAGCTACAATCAGTTGCAGGAGGTTTTAGCCAAATTAAAAGAATACGGTAAAATTAATGGGCTTCGTTCTGCTTTCAGATACTGAACCTTCAACTTTCAGTGGCATTCAACCATTCGTCGGGAGTTTCTTGCAAAAACCCTCAGAAGTACTTTTCTGATATTTTGAAGTCATGTGCTTCTTATATAGTTAGGACCAATGAAATTAAGTGATTTGCATAAAGACTCACAAGAAGTGCATATCTGAGCTGAAAATAAACTCTGTTTTCACTAGGTCTGGTCTTTATTCCTCTAATTATCAAGGCTAGATTCAGTTTTTCGGCTACAAGGTAGTAAAGCGTTAACTATGTTCTCTACAATTCCCCGCACAAAAGATAAAGAAACTTAATTCTGGGAAAAACAAGATTGGAAAGATTTTTAGAGGAGATATAGTCAAGTGAGATGATGCCAAATGAATCCCGAATGAAGTCAATGGCAAGCCAGAAGCAGAAGTGATGGCTGCGGCACAGTGTTCTCCAGGTCAGATAGACAGGACCATGGGGGGTTTTTTCCCACCTTCTCCCATAGCAGAACTGAGGTTCCCCTCCTATGCTCTCCAGAGCATGTCGTGTCTACTCATCTCCTTACTAGCGCAGGTGCCCTGGGCAGTGGCAGCACAGGACCACTGTAGCACGGGACGGTGTCCTCTGGGATGTGTCTCTGGGTAAGGCGCAGTACAGCCTTGCCAACACAGCTACTTCAGCTCAGTGCAGGCAAACCAAACCCCTTGAAGGCCTGTGTTATAAAGCTGATCAAACTGGATGTGCTAACACCCCAGTGCTAGAAAACTGAAATTACGAGCCAGTCCTCCCATTTGGCTTTACAGGCGTTTGGTCCCACCGCCACAGCATGCTCACTTGGCACCATGCCATCCCCTATTCTAAAGCGTCTTCTCCACCAGTAATACAGCGAAACCCTCATGGATCCCCATTCCCGCATCCAACTTGGGAACAATATGCCTGCCCGTGAGGCCATGAAGTCCTCATCTGAAAAGGGCAGAACTGTTTACCTAGGCACAGTGCTGGTGCCCTTCACAGATTCTCCTCTATGAGACTGCTGCCCTCCTTTGCATTTGCTTGGCCATCCCCTCAAGCATTTTTATTTCCCCGAGCTCACCCACATCACCTCCCACCCGCAGTACGGGACGGGACGGCTGGGCTGACGCAGCAGGGCAGGGTGGCAGACGAGGGAGGGAGGGAGGGAGGGAGGGTTGCTCCTCAAATAAATCAGGGTTAGACCTGATGGGTGCTGACTCCTAACAGCTTGGGTAACCTCCATGTTCAACATCTTGCAAAAGTCAAGTATCAGCTGGAGAGGGCCCTGAGAGGCTATCTGTTTCAATGCAAGCCTACCGTCAAGAAGTTTATATGTGGAAAAGGGAGAGTTACAATTATGTGTTTACCAGTTCAGCAAGGCATTGGCCAGGGTTTTTCTAAGCTCTGTTTTCACAAATTGCTGATTTCAGATACTTTAAATCTTTCCCAACGTTTTTGGTTTTTTTCCCACGACAGCAATATTGAGGCAACAGCAGGAAAAGCCCACATCCAAGTTCATAAACCTGCTGGAAGCTGATGCTATGACTGCTCTCTGCATGCCCTGAGTACCCCCCCATCACGCTTCTTGGGCACAGACCCCCACCGTTATGGGAAACAACAAACTCCTTGTTCTTCCATTTGATCTCCTCTCTCTCCAGTACTTCCCCTGTCTCAGAAACCACATGCATCCCACGGGTTCAGAGCAAAGTAAATAACCCTTTCTCAAACCAACACCCGCCCCCCACCATCACCACCACCACCATCCTCAGTCCTCAAATCAGCTAACATCTCCTTTAAAAATCCTTTTCTTTTTTTTTTTTTTCCCTTGAGCAAAAGGCAAGCTAATTAAATAAGGCTTGTGAAGCACCACAGAGATCAACGGATTGAGACCGGGAGAAACTAATTCTGGAGAGAAGATTCTCCCCCAGGGGGGTCCCCGGCTGGCCAGACCCAGGCGACACGGAGGAGATAAGTAACAGTGCCACGGCCGATTTGAGTTGTCAGATGGTACGGGGAAGAGAGAAGCCTTTTCGAATTAGCGCCGTGGCTGTGGGACACCAAAATTAAGCCCCCAGGAAGCAAACACGGAGCTGCCCAATTGGTTTTGGGATGCACTGCGCCTGAAGCCAGTTCTCCTGCTGCACCAAGTAGTCTGGTGAACAAAGGGCGCTGTGAACCACCCTGCCAGGACCTCATTATGTGAGGCCCTGTTTATGATGAGCTCAAGGACAGTGCTGATCTGATTAGCTGGTGACCTACACTCGGTGGAATTTTGTTCCCATGCTGTAATTTTGGGGCAAACTTTGCTCTTTTGACAAATGAGAGACCGGCGTCATGAGAAACCATATTTCTCTCTCAACTTCCTTGAACGTACTGAGCTCAGTGATGACCAGAAATGGAGAGTGCTTCAGTGGGCACTACAAGACCTCTGCTGTCTTCGTGTTCCTTGTCATGAAGGAAACCAACTTAGTGTCTCACTCACGCTGTGAGGGTGTGCCTGGTTAAAGTGAGGTGTACAGGTGTTGCTTAGAAAACCAGCTGGAGAAAATGCAATGAGGTCATTTCACAAACCACGAGCAAGGTCCACATAATAAAATCCTTCCTCCAAAGTACAGACATGGATAGACAATGGCTCTTCTTCTCATCTCTTCTTCATTTCTCTGCTCCAGAAGGAAGACCACGGAAGTGGTAAATTGAGGATAAGAAAGGAATGTGTGCAAGGTGAATACCAACTTCCTGAACAACTGAACTCTGCTCACCTAAAATCAATAATCAGATAGCTGTGTTGTTTAAGAAGCTTAATGAAAAATGGTTTCCTAAATGGGAAAATTAAACACTAACTCCACATTTTCCCTGTTGCTGCACAGTTGCTTTGGGTGCTCACAGTCACCCAACAATTTAACTAATACAAATAAAATATACCCTTGCTTAGTGATAAGATTGGCTACTTTTACAATGGGACTGTGTGTTCAGTAGCTGAGAAATTAAATATTGGAAGACAATGTACTGAACAAGCAAAACAGACTCCTACAAAAAATCTCTATATGTGAATTTACAGAAAAAGAAAACCCGATTAAAAAATAAGATCCATAAACCTAAGTGAATGAACACAACAATTGGCAAAGCAGAGGAGCAGAATTTCTACCTACTGACCCAAAGCCTAACCGAGGCAAGAACAAATGTAATCTTAAATCACAGTTTGCCATGGCAGTGAACATGCAAGGCCGCTAACTTAGATCAGGAACTGAAGCGTACCTTTGTTCACAGTGAGTAAAGGTTAACACATTTAAATCTATTCCATTCATTTGCCATCATCTCTGAAAGTTCAAGCTGCTATCACTCTCACGGGATAAACAAAATATCATTTTCCCTGGAGACTGTCGTGTCAGTGAGCTACAAATGCTACAGAGACTCATTTGCGAGAAAATTTGATCTCAGTTATAAAATGGTAGGATGAATGAAACAGTAAAATGAAAACTGTCAAAAATAATGTTATCTTTTTTGCTACCCAAGGTCTGGTCTTCTACAGGCCTTTCCTGGGTGATTCAGCCTTTAACACAGGAGTTGTCCCAGTGGAGTCAGTGAAATCTCCCACTTAAAGACGACTGAAAGAAAACAATGATTGGGGAACCAGCCCATTGGTTCAAAGACACTACACAGCCATCATATAACCGCTCT